TAAACACAATGAAACCCGCTCACTACCTGCAAGGCTTCAAAATTTTCCTATCAAATCTCTTAGTATTGTCTGGATATCTAAACGGATAAAGGAAGAAACACTTCCGAGAATAAGAGAAAATGATTTTTTTATGAATGTGGAAAGTAAAAGCAGCATAAAAACTGGGAAAAACTGGAGCAAGTGAATCCTTAAATAGACAAATGTTTCCTTATTGCAGCGGTCTTCACATTCATATGACCGCTCAACACCGGTCTTTACCCTATCTTAAATTTCAATTTTTTCACGATTTTTGACACGCAGCATTAATCCGACAACCTGTTAGGTTGGTGCAAAATTAATGTGCATTTTCCTAGGACATGCTTCTTGACGATTTTTTTACAACAAACCAACAAACTATTGAAAAGCTCTTTTCATGTTCTACCTAATGGTGATTGAACAGGCTTCCAATTTCGTTTGTTAAAACACTACAGAACTTCACATGACCACACTCAACAGCAGAGAGTTCCACTGCATCTTTTCTGGCCAGAATTCAAGAGCAAATGACGGCATTCGTTTGAAAAATCAGCTGCTCCATCTGGTTGGAACTTTCTATATTATGCACACTTAACTATATTCTGAGATCATTCAAGCTGAGATATCGACACTTCAGCATTGGTAATCGTGCGGTCCTTTTGTGGCTCATGGATTTCTAGTTAAGAAAGCAATCGCCAAACTTCGCCTATTTCTGTAAGCGGAAGGGTAGAGCCTCATGTTGACAGCTTTTTGCAAAAACGTGTAGCTGTTCAGTGCTTAGAAAATCAAAGATGTTGAGTAATGATGACACGGTTTTGATATTTTTTTTTTCTTCTCGTAAATCTTTTCTGTCCAAGCTCTTTTCATCACTATTTATCAGCTTGCGGCTACAAGTTAGGCTGCAGGCTACTTATTATTTATACAAACCTTGAAGAAATTTATGGTCTGCCAAAAACGAGATTTCGAGAAAAAAAACTTTTTCGTTTTTTCTAATCCATGATTTCTCGTTTTTGATAAGAGTATAGGTGGATGTGCGCTGGACTCAAAAGGGTGCGTTTCTGATGGCCTAGCATTGAAAATGGTATCAGAAAATTATAGCACGTCAAAGAAGAACCCGCAAAACACTCGCTATTTTTGCAACAGCCTAAGAGTATTAGATTGATGCTTGAGCTTTGCACCAATATCTTTGTTTCGTAAAAATTTCCCTTTTAGCTAAACCTGTTCATCTCGATATTCAAAGAAAAGAATACTATCGCTTTCTAGCCATGTTCGAAGCAAAAATTTTACAGTATGAACATATTTTTTCTACTATTGGTTCAAGCTAAAGCATTACGTGGAGAAAAGCAAACATTATCGGCTAACTTTTCTATGAGCATGGCAAGTTCAAAAGCAATTTGCAAATATTTTAGCTAAGCATCAGCTTCACAAAAGCCGCTCATACGACGCAGATATTACGATGTGAATGGATCAAAACAGAATCAAATGAAGAATAACGAAGATGCATCGGACTCAAAAGCGAACGGCCAGCAATGGAAAAACGACCTCTGCTTTTCGCTGAGGGTGGAATTCGGCGCTGTGGCCCCATTATGGGCCAATGAGCCATGTGTGAAATGCTTCAGCTGTTGATTGCTTTTCTCACTATAATCAGTTCTGTACACATTTGAGCACCAATAAAAGATGTTGCAAAAATGCCTCGTAAAACCTTGAAAAAACCATATCTTGCGAGAAGAGCACATGTTCGGTCTATCTCACAAGGGAACCGTGTCGAGTCGAAGTGGCCTTTCCAGATGATACCCATACTGCTCTGAAGAGTATTAAGCGGTGATTCCAAATCTGCCTTCCAAATCTGCCAAGCGCCTCTGGACGCCGAGTTATGACCTTTCTTCGGAACGAAAAATGAATGCAGAATTTAGGTAAAATTGATTGTTACAATCTTTCCAGCGCTCAGATAAAGCAATGTTAAGTATTAGCATATTAAATAAAATGTATCCATTGCATAAACAGCTCTGATACTTGACACTGGACCATTTGAGCAAGTTTGGGCGATTTTGCTTCAGTTTTGCATTCAATTTTTTGACTTGAAAAACGAATAACTCGGCGTCCAGAGGTGCTTGGCAGATTTGGAAAGCAAATTTGGAATGACCGATTAATGCTCTTCAAAGCAGTATGGGTCTCATCTGGAAAGGCCACTTCGACTCGACACGGTTCCCTTGTCAGTTTGTCAAACAGAACTGAATGCACCAACAATGATGATGAGATACAGAAAATGAAACACAAGTGATAAATGAGATATATGGGGACACTTTGAAAATCTGGTCATTGACATCAATCTAGAAACGAGGATTCTCTTAACTGCGAGAAAATGATGGTGACGTTATTTAAATTTTAAATTATTGACGTTTATACTCATTGGAGAACTTTCACAAGCTATTTGCTTTTTGATTTGCAAATAATTCCATATTAACAAAGAAATGCACCATTAGTTGCGTTGATTTCATTTTCAAAGTCTCATTATTTCCCAAAAATATGCATATCTAGCTCTAAGAACACAAATGTTTGGTCACGAATAATTTTCTGAATCTTTCGCCAATTATAAGTACCGTTCTGTAAAGCTAGGTTCAAGTTGAATTTATGTTATGGAGCGAACCAACAATCGCTCCTTCTTCTTGTAGGATTACGGTTGCAATCCTGAAGAGCACTTTGAGCGAATGAGGGACATTTTGTTCTAGAAAGAACACCCGACAAGCTTTTTTTTAGAAAAACCAAAATCACAGTTGCTGACTTTGAGATATGCCAGATATACCATCACTGCTATTTCTTGCAGATTGCTTCAAAATATGATACGCTTTTCTAACAGCCAAGTCGAGTAGCAAGATCAACACGCAGAAAGTACTGTCACACAATTTTTCAAACTTTTTAGTATTTTATAATATATGGTTTTATTCACAACATCTGTATGCACCGCTCGGTAGTTCCGACCGTAATCAGTAACGTCGCTATACTGTTCCAATCCATATTACATCAAAGTTGGAGCCAACTTTACGGCAAATACCTAAAAAAGAGGTGGAACCCCTGTAGCAAGGGAAATCACTCAAAAAATGTGTGCCATTTTTTATGACACCCCTGTATGTATTAAGTTTGGAGAGAAAATCACATAAGTTTCAAGAAAGTTAGCAAGCAGATTCATAAGCACACTGTAACTGATTGCTGCCAACAAAAATTTGCACATTTAAGATAACTAGTGCTTGATTCTGAAATCTACAAAAGAAAATGATCAGTCTGAGGAAAAAGCGAATCTATCTAGCTGAGCATATTCTATAAGTATTTTAAACTTCTAGATAGACTACCAAATGGCAAACTTTATAGAAAAAACTGAATTATTGGTCATGGATGTAAAGTGAAACTACGGCGGAAAAACAAAAGACTAATATTTTATCTTCACAATAAATCTGTTCATATCCTATAATTGACTGCAGCGGTTACTCTTTGAAGAAAGAAGATCAAAATTCAGATAAAGCAGTTTCCTCAGACCAAGAGTTTTGCTTGCTTACAAGTAGATTTGAAAAATCATTACGAATAGTTTGGCACTGAGAATTTGTCAACATTAAAATAGAACAATAATGCGCGTGTTTTGAATTGTTGAAGACCTCATTCGATGATTCTGAAACCGGCAGTTTTTTTTCTTTCTTAAAAAGCCTTTTCTATAGCAAATTCGATGAATGTTATTTTTAAGATTGTGTGTTATAGGAGTACTGACTTACTTCTTCGTCCACTCGAAGGATCCTGTGTACGTGAACAAAGTAATGTCAAAATATTGATCGCTTCATAGATTTTGCATAAAAAATTTATGCTTGTTTCAGAAGTTGTTCAAGTGATAATTATTTTCAAAGCCATCAACTATTTTTCCTAACGTGTAAACAAAAAATTATCATCAATATTAGAGATTTTAATGTAAACAAGATGTTGAAAAATTCTAAAATCATGTAATAATAGAAACGTTTAATTAGTATTCTCCCAGGCAATCAAGTCAGCTCATAACACCAAAAGTGAAACCAAAATATGAATTTAGTTTTTGTTTGATTAATTATAGCTAGCAAAATGCAAAAGAATACTTCTGGATAGTTTTTCAAAGGATCCAGTGCTTTTCTTTAATAGCTTGTATCTTGCGCTGCAGCATTAATTTATTTTGCTTCAAAGATTTTTAGAAAATGTAAGATTTTCGCTATGTCACTAATGTCAAAGTGAGAGAATTTATAGAAGAAACAGATCATGATTTTTTTAGAATTTTCGGTGCAAGGCTTAACAATAAGTTTTAAAACTAACCACACAAGTCTAAATTTTGGCTGTCTCCATTCGTCTCTTTCTTCTGAATAGCAGGTTATTATGACTTTTTTCTAAACAATAAACATGGAAGGAAATTTTTTGTACAAGAAATACTTTGTATTCAATTTTTAGATTTTCCATGTCTCAACTACTGCTTATTTTATAAAAGTTATGGCAGAGATTTTTTTTCAAAAACTGAGGTAGTAAACTTTTTTGGGCCATAAATACCCATATTTCCAAGAAAATCTCCTACATGTAACGTTTGCAGTCATTCGCTGGTGCACGTTTTGTTTCTTGATACTATCTTGAAGGCGTATCAATCAACCTTGGTCGAGGTTATCGATTCGTCTTCACCCTTCACGCACTTTTGTTTTATTTTACAAATTAGTGGTGAACCTCTCCTTGTTATCAGTTCGATAATAAGGATTTTGAAGCCATTTCCTCCTAACAAAGCCAATTCTACACATCTTGGGCTCAAAGAAAGTTTGAAATCTAATTTTTTAGATTAGAAATTTTCCTACCTGTAACCAAATCGCTTAGACTCAAAAATTCTTCAGTAACTCGCTATGAGATTCGATTCCCGTCCCTAAATTTTATAAAATTCACGTGATTTTCGCAATTTCCAAATCTTCAATGTTTAGGTAGTGTAAACCAACACAGTCACCTGTTTCTTCTTATCACCGGTTCATAACCCCTCCGATATCAGTGCTAAATTTGGAAATGCCTTCTATGTTTTCATCAATATGGATTCGATTTCTTGCTGTTTGCTTTGCGGCACAACTTACATGTCAATATGTGAGTTTTTTATTCTTATATTTTATTGATTTTGTATGAAACTTTTTAGTTCTCGAATACATTGTGGACCGTAAACTGCTCATGCTCAAGATCATTTCAAAATAATCATAATGGACGATGTATGCGCACTCAGGGAATTTTTGCAGCGTTGGGGGAGGGGGGGGGGTAGGTCGACTTCTACCATGTATGGCATTTTTTCCTGCTTTGACAAATAATAAACTCCGATCACGTTTTTTTTGACGTTAGATTATCCCAAAGCGCAGTGAAGAACTTATTTTGTATATGCTTTAAGAGACTTAAAGTTTCTTATCATTTCTTGCTGCTACTGTGCAGACCTTTTATATACAGAAGGGCCTTTGTTTTGATTATTTCTTGAAACATTGGGAAAGAAAAAAATTAAGTTTAGTTGTGGCACTCGCCATTTTTGACTCTGTCATCGAGTATCACCAGGATTCTGCGAGGTAAAAAACTTGCAAACTTTTGAAAAAATGTCTTGCAACCAACATTTTTCCAATTGATTGTAGGATAAGTTGAGATTGATGTTAATTAATTGGTTAATTGTAGGATAGTTACTGATTAGCAAAGGTAGTTGAGCCTTTAATAGCTTTGAAATGCTAAAACGTTCTCCACTGAAGAGTGTCTGGCAATAATCTACATTTAATAATTTAACATTTACGTCTAAGTGCACCACTTTGTGGTAGATGCCTCAGTTTGTGTATGACTTAGAGATCCAACTATAGTCCCTCCTCGTTGACTATTACTTGGCTTTCTTTTTGATTTTATTAGTAATCTCGATTTTTTTAGAACATTGGCATACACAGGGTGTATCCCATAATTATAAGGGTGTCTCACAATCTTTTTTCTACCGTTTTCACCCTAAACAGCAGCACTTTTCGAGAATTGGGCACTTAAGGGTACAAATGGATGATCGGATATATGATCACGTGCTTGGGGGGAGCTCAGGACATCTGGGGGCATCTGGGGGTGGAGTTTGCCTTTTACTCCATTGATTTTTTCTTTAATTTTAGCCATAGAAAAAATACGGAAAGTGTGCTACTGAATGTTCGATGTGTGAAGCTTATGCTAGGAGAAATGAGGAACTTCCAAGTATTTGGGGCGGTGAAAAGATTTTTGACGGTAAAGTTCGTTTTGACTGCTATCAGTTCGCTCAAAACTTCACATGGAATACGATTCGGGCAGTTAATAGCCACCAGAGCTTGTTTTGCTCTGTCCAGTGATTACTCAAGTCGCTTCAACGAAAAGATATAAAAAGATGGTTGTAGTAAAAACTGTAAAGAATTATGGGATACCCTAATGATGAACGCATATGCATGTAACATAAGCGTATAGGCGGTCATGACAGACCTTCTGTCCGAGCAGTACGGTTTTCCATACACAGTTGATTGATGATTTGGAAATCAGACTAAAGGCGAAAAGAAAAATAATCATATGGTGTCGGTGAATCATATTTTCAGTTGTCTGCGCCGACGAAATATAACAAATAAGGCAGATAGATTCTAGAAAACATGATGTTGTAAATGCTCTCACAAAAGTTCCAAATATCCTTAGGGAAAGGTTTCATTTTAACAAGAAGCACTTGTTTTCAGAAGCACTAGAGGTGCCACTAAGCTTTGAAAAGACTTGCTAACATGTACAATACCGCTCTCAGAACGTGCAAAATTTCCGTGGATGTCGCGGAAACCCCGGAAATCCGCGAAGGACTGCGAAATTTTCGGAATATCGCGACATTTCCGGAATTTCGCGACATTCCGGGAATTTCGCGGAATTTTTGGAATATCGCCATAACTTCCTTCGGAATGCATAAATTCCGGATCTGAAACAAGGGTTATACTCAGCTCATTAAGGCGAATCTTTTGATACCTTGCCTTACCGTAATTCTCGGGGCACGATTGGTGCACGGTCTGAGATGAATTTTGCATTTTGGGAGAGGGGAGGTGAACACAATATTCGTGTCCTGTACTCGAACCCACCCCTTCTAGTAATAAATAGGTGCTTGAAGCTACTAAACAAACAGAGCAACATCGACGGCATCATCACGGCGTGTTCGCATATTTTAGAACTAATCACACCCAATACCACTGATTAGTCCCCCCCCCCCCCTCCCTAGAATTTCAGAAAAATTGCAAAAGGATTCACTTGCTGCCGTACACCCACGTCCTCTCTCCCAAAATGCAAAATTCATCTCAGATCGTGCACCAATCGTGCCCCGAGAATTACGGTAAGGCAACGTACCAAAAGATTCGCCTTAATGAGCTGAGTATAACCCTTGTTTCAGATCCAGAATTTATGCATTCCGAAAGAAGTTATGGCGATATTCCGAAAATTCCGCGAAATTCCGGAAATGTCGCGATATTCCGAAAATTTCGCGACATTCCCGGAATGCCGCGGAATTCCGAAAATTTCGCGGTCCTTCGCGGATTTCCGGGGTTTCCGCGACATTCACGGAAATTTTGCACGTTCTGAGAGCGGTATTGTAACTCCTTTAACGAATAGAAAAAATATGGTCTCAAGAACATCTTATCAATAAAGCATCATCCATGAACCATGCAAAGTTTTAATGTTGCTTGTAAGACTATCTGGTGTTTGGTAGCTGCAAAAGATAGTTCGCAGTTTCCAAAATTCACAAATTTGTGATTATTTCAGTGATTTTGGCAGTGATGAAATGAGTTTTTAGGACAAATCTAGAACCTTGGAAGAGCTACAGTCCCTAGAAGTGCAGCTCATAGATGCTAGAAACATCTTACGGTCACGTTTTCACTACTGCACTTCACAATGGAGAGAGGGCGACTCTCCCGCTGACCATTTGAGCAGTGGTTTTGTCAGGCAGTACTGGTCAGTTAAAACAATCGAAACGGAGACAACTGAAATTAGGCTGCTTGTAGGCATGAAGCTCTTCACACTGCCAGAGAATCATACCGCGAAGACATCCAATGCCTCATGGATATGAAGCCTTTATTGGAGAAACATAGGCGTATAGAAAAAATTCTGGAAGAAAGGTGGGTGTGTAAATTATACCAGTATCTTCTAAAACACCTATAATGCAATTTAGGCGATACGAAGATGATGAAAAAATAGCAGCAGACTTGGATGCTTTTCTAACCCGTGCTCAAGTAAAAGAACTGCGATACCTACATGAAAATGGAGATCAAAGAGCTGTTGAACAAGCGGTTAGTGGTTTTACGGCATTTTTAAAGCTAAGGACCAGCACAGTTTTAGCTTGAGACTTCTCAAGGTGGGAAATTATCACCTTATATATAAAGCTGAATGTCTGTTTGTCTGTATGTAAGTCTGTATGTATTATGTATGTCTGTATGTATGTCTGTACGTATGTTCCGAATAGAAAATTCCATTCTGAACCGATCTGGACCAGACTTGGCACACATACACTTCGGCCCCGGCGGGTGTCATAGGCTACTTTTCGTCATCGATCGATATCAATTTTATCGATTTTTGCAAAATTTGAGCTACAGGGCTGGGAGTTGGCACAGGGGGGTAATCGAGCATGCTGATTACAAATATATCATTGACAGGGCCGGGTAAGCCATCTAGTCGTATACATATCTCTATCCTCACACTTTCTATGCAGAGCCTGTACAGTCTCAGTCGCTTGGTATGTCATATAAAATGGGTAAAGTGCTCCCTTCAGTGATCACTTGCTCTTTACTTTGTTGTGTGTCTGTGCCAATCAAGCTCTCTTCCCTCTGGTACCGGTAAATTGGTACCAGAGTTACCTGAGAGAATAAATGCACCGACTTGCTAATCGGCTGGCCCCCGCAAGTAACTGTAATAGGTCGCCCCCGCGCTAATCAGTCACTTTTTAGCTTGTGAAGTTGAGTGCGTTTGGCGCATGTCCTGAGATAATCAAAAATCAAATCTTATTCTCTGTTGTGTCAAAAGTTTTCACTATTTGTAGAATTTCGACCTTAAAGGGTACATTTCTGCTCAAGTCTATTACCGCTTCACTTTTTTTTACTTCCTCGCTCATCTTTTTGTCTTATCACTGTTCGTAATTTGACGTTCCATCCTCCTTCCAACAATTTCTGCTTGTCTTTCATATGCTCAGAACCTTTCCTGTGTGAGTAAACAGACTTATCTCTGCACAGGACTCATGAGTGATGACTGTTTGTAATGCTTGTATTGGCCATGACAATGCTCTTAGACTTTCCATCAATGATCGCTCCCTTTTTTAAAGAGTGTTTGTGTCTGTTGTTCGTAAGAGCTTTGCACTTGATCTACGTTTGAAGCAGGCTTTCGTAGTATTAGGTTGGCGGATAATTTCTGTTACACTTTTTTCTAAATTTTCTGGGAAGTTCCAGAAGCTTTCTGAAAAAAAATCGCAACACGCTTAGGATACAGCAGGGTGTACCCACCAGCATGATTGGTGCCGCAAGTGCACTAATGACCAATAAGTTTACGGCAGTTTTGTAAAAGCGTCACATTTTTCAGTTCTTGTCTGATCATTTTCTGTACTACCTGCGCTTTTCATCTTCCAGAATTTTTCCAATGTATTTTGGTATTGCTTCTTACATGGAGGCATTCCGGTGCCTCTAGCGTTTCAAAAACGAGGGGTAAAAAAACATTTGAAAAGTTCAAAAACTTTCGTAAAATCTTCTTTTTATGTGCATCTTATAAAAATGAATATAGAAAGCTTGAAATTAATTTTTTAAAGATTTTTTGAAGGCATTTCTTCCAAAAATTGCGACGATTGCAAAGATGGCGCACACTGAAGTTTGAGCTGTCAGAAAAACGTGTACAGACATGTCTGCGTTATCCCCGCGTATTAGTCAAACGCTAGGACTATGCCCTACTCGATTACCACATTGCCCCGTTTGCTAATCATCTGAGAGAACGCCAGCTCATTTGCAAGAATGCGAAGAATCGGATTTTCAGCTCCAATGTGGGTGTTTTGCGCACTGATAGCGGATGCGACGGTACCCTTGAATAGGCCTTTTGACCCTGCCCATACGTCCTGAACATGAGATCTTTCCAAAGCTTCTGAGATTTTTGAGAATCAAAATAAAGAGTGTAACAGAAATTATCCGACAACCTGATATTTGATTACAGACATAAGCAATAAATGCGTTCATTCATTAGAATTTACATGATAATCTGGTCATTTTTATAGATTGGGCGTTTATTTTTGAATCCCACATTCAGTGTTCTATAACTTACTTAGCATCGTGATTTACGTTCCATGATGTGATTCAATCCTTCTTTGTTCCTTTTGAGGTAGGATTCAAAGGCACTATATGCTAAAGAGATGACTAGTATCTACCTAGCGTTAGAAGCCGTTGTGTAACGTGCATGCTGTTGCAGTGTACAAGCAAGGTGGAACGTAGTTACATTTCTTGAATGATACTTCAGTCACATAAAGGCTACTGCATGACTAAGGCGCAAAAGCAGTATGAGTTGAGCGGGCGCGAACGCGATGCCCGCGTATCATCGTTTGTAAATTCTGCGCCTCATGCGCTCTGCGGCTAAGAAAGCCGCTTTCGCTTCCAAAGATATTGCGCCTTCGTCATGCAGCAGCCTTTACCTTATGCGCTACCATACCGTACCGGTAGCGTTCGAACAAACTTCATTATCTTTCATTTTGGGAAGGTAATTTTGAAATTTCTTTTAAAATAAGGCAAACCCTAGGTAATCCTTTCGTGTGCACTATCTTCAAATCTTCATCTTTTTCATTATCAACGGTTTGCATTTTTTGCAAGAGATGGTGTTGGTATCAAGATATCTGAATGTCATAGTGGGACCACGCATGTAGTTCAATGTTTCGCTGAAGCAAAATTCATTCTTGGTTCTTGTCATATACAACTAGCCCTAAATATTGCAATGCCATCGCGTTTTGGGTACTTCGTCGCTGAAACGTCAACCTGCGGGCGGAGTATAACGTACAAGAATATTTGCAACTTTTAGAACCCTTTTTTTTAATTCACAAATTGCACTATCATCATTACTGGTTGCATACCGCTATTAACCGATATGAAAGATTTGATGTCGAATGGTTGAGCAAGGGAAGATAGCAATTGGCTCCAAAATATTATGTTTCAGCTGGACCAATACTTCCAAGGACTACCATCACCAACGAAGGATAAGCTCTTAACCGAGTTTCTTCACTATGAGGCAAGACCAAGGCGCGTGGAAAGGGACACTGATTGTAAGAGTTTAAGTTAAAATTATATCATGCTACAAAAAATTGGAACAGCGAATCGGAGCAGTGTTTTGTCAGCCGAGGAAGAAGACGCAATGGCAGGATACGAGGAAGAGGTGTTGGAGCCAGATCCACTAAAGCCAGAATGGCTGGCATGGCAAACTCCAAGACATGTGCGGTTTGTTGTTTGCTCACTTATGAAGCAATTTTCAACAAGTCTCAGCAATGAATTTTAGAAGAAACTTATCAATAAAATGATAATCGGTAAGGCCAGCAAATGGGAGATTATGAACGAAGTAGGGGACCAGTTCTATCACTTGAGGAAAGAGCAAAGAACAGAATACAAAGGGTCAGTGCTTTTGCTGCAGCTTGCATTTTAGATACTATTAAGAGTAGTTGTATCTTTCCTTAACTTCTTTTCTCTGTTTTACTAATGGCAGTCGTACTCCAAGTATACTGTAGTTATCATCAGCATGACACAACTTGATGTTGGTACACTAGCAGCGTACGCGGCCAAACGTTGAAACATACCTACGCCTGGTACGCCGCCATGCGGTCCAGCCTAAAATCATTTCAGCATATCTCATCTCCTTCGCGTAGCAATAGAAAGGTTTTTTGTGGCCTTTTAAATTAATGAGCCCTATCTTCACTGCTTTAAGAATATTATTACTATTATTATTAGGTTGACCGAAAGTTCTGTCACACCATTTTCAAAAAATCATAACTTCTTTCCATCACGACTATTTTGCGCAACTCAAATTTTATCAGAAAGCATAAAGCATGTAGTTTTCAACAGTTCCCTATATACTTTCAACATCCTCAGGTTGCACAGATAAAAATGAAAGAACGAGATCATCCGAAATTCGGAATTTTTAAGCAAAATATTCTAAAAATCTAGAAAGTGCGATAAAATCCAGAACAGCCATCATTTTAAGTTTTCTTATATTTGATTACTAACTGAGTCAAATTTGTGTTGATCGAGCTCTTTTTTCAAAAGTTATGATTTTTTTGAAAAAATGCCGAAAAATCAATTTCCTAAGAATTCTTAAGAAACGTTTTTTCGGCATTTTTTTCAAATATCATAACTTTTGAAAGAAGAGCTCGATCAACAAAAATTTGACTCAGTTAGTCATAAATTATAAGAAGACTTAGGATGATGGCTGTTCTGGATTTTATCGCTCAGTTTCTGGATTTTTAGAAGGCTTGCTCAAAAATTCCGAATTTTAGATGATCTCATTCTTTCATTTTTATCTCTGCAACCTGAGCATGTTGGAAAGTACGCTGAGAACTGTTAAAACCACATGTTTTAGGCTTTCTGATAAAATTTGAATTGCGCAAAATCGCCGCGATGGAAAGAAGTTATGATTGTTTGAAAATGGTGCGACAGAACTTTCGGTTCAACCTAATATGTATATCATCCTCTTCAGCGCTTTTTAAGGCTTTCGATCACCCAGCAATAAATGCAAATGACCTTGTTGTAACATCTCTCTTCTATGTAACATCTCTATCCTATCAAATTCTTAGCAAAATTCATCGCGCTTGTATTGATCACATGATCGTCAATTCGGCTATTCTAGAAATTTGGAGAACTACTGCATTAGAAATCTCAAGAACATCATAGGAGAAAGAAATTTCAACGTTTTGCGAGGAATGTATATGGACACTGATCCGGTAGAGCAGATTGAAACCAAATTTCACGAGCTCGTCGCTGAACTATCTGAAGAACGAAAGCGGTTGCTTGCAGGTTTGTAGTCATTCAAGAATTAGCGAAATTTTTCGCAGTTGCGGCGAAAATCCTTGAAAATTTCCATTCAGATCACTATGGCGTTTTTTGTCGGAAAATCTTTAGACTTGTGCATTTCGAACCAACAGACTTGACTATTTGGCTCACTTCGTCGCAAAAACTCGCATTGGGTGTCATGATACAGGATCCAGATATAAACGACACCCAGATTTATAACAAGGTCAGTGTTCAATTTTTGGTCTAATCATTTCTATCGCAGTTGACAGTCTTACAATTTTGGGCCCGATTTGTATAACAATCATCTTTTTCACGTGTTCAGATGTATGAGTTTTATGCAAACACCACTGGCGAAGCTAAAGATGAGGCAAGGGACATTATCGAATCTGGTTGTCGACACTTTATCGCACACATGTTCGGAGACGATAATGCAGAGGTAACCTTTGCTTCCCGTTTTCTCAATTTCTTCTTTAAATTTCGCAGGGAGAAATGTGTTTATTTATATTATGCTAGAAACAAAAATCGTCGAAGGCAAAAAATAGTTGAAGGTTCTTCGAACACAACCAACTATATATAATTAAAGGAGCTGGAAGAGCTACGACTAGCCGGCTCAGTTTCAAAGCAGCAGTTAGCAGCTAAATTAGCCACACACGCTTTGGAGGTGTCTGATGTGGTAGACCGCAAAAGAGCCGAGTAAGCTTATAGAAAAAATCTTAGTTTGCTCAAGCGTACAACATCGTTTGATAGAGGCTCACTATCTATTTGTATTCGAATCTACTTGGGTTACGACAATTCGTGTGAGTGCCATGGCCACTCCGAAACCTGCGACAGTGTCCGCCATAACTGCCTCAACTGCACAGATAATACTTACGGAGTGCAGTGTGAGCTGTGGGTCGATCTTATCAGCAACTTGATTTAACCTCACATAATTTCTGAATCACAGCTGCATGGAGGGGTTTACTGGAAATCCACTTACTGGAGGTTGTACGTCGATCGAGCCGGAAGAAACACCGTGCACATGTAATAACCACTCTACTACGTGTGATTCTGATGGAAAGTGCCAGGTTTCAGCATTTTTGTTGATTTTAAACTGATTCATAATGATATACTCTTAGTTTTGCCTTCATAACACTATCGGAGACAGTTGTGAACGATGTGCGACAGGATTTTATGGAGATGCAACAACTGGGACTCCCGACGATTGTACCAGATGTCCATGTCCGTAAGTGGCTGACATATGACAATAATTGGAGAAATGCAACCTCTTAGCAGATAATGTCCAAAAAGCACTTTAGTCTTTTTGCAATCATCATGTATGCAATTATGTTACGAATTTGTAAATACAGGAACAACGGCGACTGCTTCGTAAACGAAGATGATCTCGTCCAGTGTAACGAATGTCCAAATGGAACACATGGAATAACATGTGAAGAAGATGCTGCCATACAAAAAGAAGAGAAAGTGGATTTGAAAACGACTGAGGATCTCAAAAAACAGCAAAAGAATGGAGAAATAGAGGATGGGGGACAACAACAGCGCAATGGGAGACAGAAAACTAAGGAAGAACAGCAACTCACAACTGGTGAGACCGCTAAGGAGAACAACGAACATTCGGTTGAAGTTGAAGGAAACCAAGTTGATGAAACGTTTTTCTTGTAGAGTATTTTATTGGCATAATACAAATTTACGAAAATGCTAAGCATCAAACAGGCTTTCTGCATCACGTACTACACAAAACGTTGAAAGTATCGGTTGAGAACATCATCTTGCCCGCTTCTGAAAGTCAATCGCTTTACATACAAATAGAAGAATATATTATAGTATAGCGTAGGTCACAGATTTTCGTAGCAAGAAAAAGCAAACAAGCTTTATAAAACAAAAAATTCTCATCCACAAAAGATTTTAGGAAATATTATCTTTTTACCAGCTTGTAGCTCCGATCCTAAAGAACGGAGCAAATTTTTATGCAAAGTTGTAGAATCAATGATCTTGATCATTGATCTAATTGATCTTATATTTGAAGCTAAGTCTTTGTTTGATATGTTTGTATGCACGCGTGCTCTAAACAGAAGGTTCCAACTCCAAACCAATCTGGACTAAGTTTGCACACACAGGAGTGGGCGTCGTAGGTTACTCGTGTTATCGTCGATAGCCTTGATTGATCTTCAGCTGGAGCGCTGGGATTTGGTAAAGGGAGGTGAGCGAATATGCTGATTGCAGACTTATCATCATCAAGATCATCGAATGCCTTCATCTTTGCCGATTTTGCAAACTTCGACGAGGGATGTTGTGGTTTTGAAGGCACTGTCCCGACAAGTATTGCATATCCACCTTTATGCGAGTTTAGGTTTTTTCTACATCTAAAACCCAAATATGAGCTATGAACCGGGTGAAATGAGCTTTTTGGAGAGTTTACCCAATATTCAGAGGCAGAGCGGACGAGAGTTCAATGGAAAGTTGGGACGTCCTGCCACAAGACACTGCCGTCTGTAATTTTTGCTTTAAATAGCATGTAAAATGCAGAAGCGATCGGGTCCCGCGCCGAGCAGGTAAGCGGATCCGTCCGAGCGCGCCAATTGAGGTTGCGAGCGCCGTTCGAGGGCTATTTTCTCAACGCAGGGATAACATCGAGCAGCCGGACTAGGTCTGGAGCTTAGTGGGATGACCAGGAGCTCCAACACAGCTAAATCCCACCAAGTGTGAATCTGCCGGGATTCCGCCTTTAACGGAGAGGAAGGCGCCGAGTTCGCATCCTGTCAACAAAAACACGGTTGGCAGAGAACATTCCTAGAGAGCAATGACAAGAATGGTTGTGTAGAAGTGATACTGGTGAGCTAAATCATGGTAAGCCGAAGGGCTCGAACAAAGCTATGAACAATATAGACTAATAAGCCTATCTTTTAGACTTCTATATTTGTTCTTTCCCTTTCTTTCGTCTCTCATAGTTTGCATCACTGCTTACCCGTTCAGCAGGTGAATTACGACAAGATACGTGCTTGGAATTTCGGAATACAAACTTCTATTTCTGAAAGAATGATTTAACATGCGAGTCACAACAATGATGTTCGCTTTGCAAAAGCGAATTAATCTGCAGGAGCTCCGAGAAGATACACGGTAATTGATAGGATATATAACAAAAAATTCCGAAACGTGCACTTTGCTAATAATCCTGATGAGCTTCCGTACCTACCACTGACAATCCGGGAGATCGAGGGGAAAGGGGGAAGGCGATGAAAAAAATCTCGAACAAAAGTGGCGTCATATACACCCTCCGGAAGATATAAACAATGCATCCGAAAATCTCAGCGGAGCCATAACTCGAACTAGAACAGGGCTGGGCTTTTTAAGAGGCTAGTTGGAACTGAGGATTTTGAAACTTGTTTTGATTGCTCAGAAGTGAGACAAGTTCATAACACAATTTCATACTTTGCAGGCTAACTTCAAAAATTTCACGATTTTGGCCCCACCTCTCCCTAGCTTCACCCTTCCGTCCGCAATAAAATAATTTTTGACAAGTACTCCTTCACAACACTATTAATTTATTCACTGATAAAATTTGAGTATACGGAATTTGACTGAATTGGATGTGCTGGACTTTCTATTTCTTTCCATTTTTAGACGCTCATATGTTCATCGGAGTTTAATAAACCTCCTTACCTAAACCTGCCATAATAATGAATATTTGAACCGGTGAGTATTTTGTCATTGATACCATCCGGACCGTGACTGGAAACCACGCTGAAATGGTGAAAAATGATATATTACCTACGAAACCAACAACTTTTGACATTTTACCTCTCGCGGCTATTATCATGTCCAAATCTTGAGTATGCATAAGCTATTTGCAATGTCAGCGTAATCATCAGAATAGCAGCAAACACTGTTTTCCACATCTGAAATGCAAGTGATTCGGTTTAATTAAAACCAAACTGTCAATACGGTTTTTGAAGATAGGGTCGTCTTCTCCTCATTTGTTGCAGGAAGTAATGTCACTGATGAGATAAAGATAAAAGCAGCAAAAGTCTTATCATCCAGAAAACTACCCTTTACTACAGTCTGACCAAAAGTTTGCAGCCACTTTGGAAAATAGCTATACTTCACTTCGCATTCCACATAATGAGCCCAAACAATAGTATTATCTGCAAATTACTCTACTTTGCGATGTGTAAGAATATTTTCCGATTTGATGCACACAAAAGGTGATTTTAGGAAATTGGCAGAAATGGATTTCACCAAAACTAACTTGCAGCTTGCTTTCTTGTTAATCATCTTCGTGAAAGTCTCTAAACTTCCAATTCATACTACGGATGTATCCATGATTGCTAAAATGTGTACAACGATCACCTCCACCATAACACAAGATAAGAGACTGTATGGACCAAATTAGTTTGATCGCAACCTGAGTGTAGAATTCAGAAAGATCGTTAACTCGTACGTGCTTTTCTAGAAAGGTTCTACCAAACGAATGATGAAGTCAATCAGCTTGTGGGATAGAAAAAACATTATTAGGCTAAATTCAACTTGACTGTCGCTCCTACACAAATTCGGCGCATTTTGCAGCTTGGAAGTTTAACGCAGCGGTCCGCAAGAAACTCAAACTCGATAAAAGATCGTCTGTATAAAAATGAACGCTTGGTCTTAACTTTTAAAAACGGAAAAGATAGGGTTGACAAAACGAAAGTTGAATTTGAGCCAAGTAATGCTTTTTCTGTCACACAATGTGATTGACTTCAAACGTCTAATTGTTAGAACTTTTCTATAAAAGCGCGTACAAGTCAATCACGAAAATTAAATGTTAAGAAACTTTGTCAAAGATAATCAACAAAATATGACTGCAAGTTTTGGCCAACCCCCTGACAATTTCCTAAAGTCACCTTTTGTGTGCATCAAATCGTAAGATATTCTGACACATCGCAAAGTAGAATAGTTTGCACATAATGCTATTATTTGGGCTCAACATGTAAAATGCGAAGTAAATTATAGTTGTTTCTCAAATGTTTCTCAAAGCGGCTGCAAACTTTTGACCAGCACTATGTTATAAAAGGCTGCTCCATAAGTTTTGTCCGATTTTTTTTGCTTTTGAATTCTTGCTTCTTCCTTAACAAAGAGTTTCGCAGATATCAACATGCGTCTGATAGCCAAGGAACTACTCAACACACAGAAACTAAGATCTTTGAGAAAGGCTTACTTTGAAAAAAGTTATGACATTTCAAACTCAAAAAATTCAAATCGGATAGAACTTATGCAGCAACCTAATGCAAACTTATTTTTATTTACTATGGACTCGGAGTGTAGCAGAGAAAATACTATTAAAATATCATTTTACGGTACCTTACTGATGCATAGGAGCAAAGGAAAGAATTTATGCAAAGATGTAAAAGAGGAGAGTTTTCAACCGTAAAGTCCGACAACATCTGGCATTTTACATCTCAGAGCCTGAGTACAACACTGTCGACATATGTTATCTAACATGATTTAAGGTTGTGAAGTCTAGGGAAGAGCTATGATTGGACGGACTGTAGAAAAACGAGATAAATCACAATATAAGGTCAGTAAGCTAATCCGTAATGTAGCTCAATCAGACGGCTATTGTACACCAAAAGATTTTCCGAGAGATTGTAAATTTTCCCAAAAGATGCAATGGCAAATACTCAAAATTTTGTCTTAGTAGATACGTAAAACTTCCGCGAATCTAAAAAAATGTTGTTATCTTGATTAGAGATGCGCGAAGAAAAACTCTTAGAAGAGCGGGTAATTGAAAAATCATAATTTCGGTGGAATAAACGTAATCTATGGAGGTCTGTAAGTTCTTGAAGATCCTGCGACTTTAGATGACAAGTAAAAACTTTTGTTTTATCTGATCATTTCCCTATGAAGATTTTCAAGAAGCTCAGTACTACATAAAAGTTTCACAAGAGTGTCAAATGTGAGCCTTCAAAGTTCGAAAAAATCCTGCATCTGCTATAGGTATCCTTTAAAAAGGCCCCTTTTGTACCAAAAACGTCCTTTCTTTTTTGGTCTACATTGCTAGACAAACTTTCTTATTTCGTCACTAAGCAACCAGCCAATTAGCACAATACAGCCTTTTTTATTCAAGGAGTAACAGGCGCTGAAATTGTATACGATTGTCTTCTTGTACAATTACTTGCACACCATGAAATTTGATCTCGCCAGTGTTTGAACTTCTTTCAATTTACGAAGCCTACCTGCTTTATTCATTTGCACGTCCAGAAGCCTTAGAGTTAAGCGAATGATGCCATTCTAACAGATTATACATATGTTTAGCATAGAACAATATACAGTTAATGCAAACATGAATTCAGGAGTTTTTTCTAAATATATACCATAATTTTAATTCTAGAGTGATGCCTGGGAAAAATGTTTCGGCAGGTACGTGGAAAAACGACATTCCCAAAAATTTGTAGCCTAGATGGTGGCTAGCATCCCTCGAAGAAAGAAAAAATAGACAAAGATGTTCATAAAATTAGAAAAAAAAGATTTTGAGCTTGTCTTCGAAAGGGTGTCTGTGTAAAATTTATAATTGGAAGATTTCAGATGACGTAATCGTAGCCGTGTAAGTGATCGCCCATCAAAGTAGCGGAGCGAAGCGAGAAAATTTGCTAATTGCGACAGGCCCGCCCATTAAAACTTCTCGCCCCGCCCATTAAGCAATCACAAATCAATGCTTACAACTGCCTACGCGTGTGAGCTCTCCAAATGTTCGCACGCGCAGCTCGCTTCGACGGGTGCGGCGCTAAGAAAATGGACGAGTTACATTGGCACCATACAATTGCGAACATTGACAAAACAAGCTTGATCCTGTGTTCAACAAGTTTATACTTGTAATCTACCTTATCCAGATTTATTTACTACTCTTGGAAACAGGAAGCAACAAGCAAAAACTCGTTTAGACGAGGTTCGCAAAGCTTTCGGCCCCCTGGTCTCACTTTCAGATAAAATAATAGACTCGGACGAGATAAATGTACAACAGTGAGCGAGCATGTCATCCTTTTGTACTCTACACTTGCGCCACTCTGCACGAAGCCTAGCTGATGTGCTGACCAATCAAAGTCGCGCCATAAAGGCAAGCGTTTCGAAAAGCGTTTAAAGGTAATTTTAAGGATTGAGAACAGAGGCACAGTGACAGCATGCTACATGAATCAAAACCAAATTTTTGCAGAAATTTTTGTACTGGGTTTTTCTTAGATATTCTCAGCGCTGCAAAATGTCAAATATTCTTCTACAAAACTTTGCTCGTACTAATTCTGAAAGTTATCCGACTATGAAGAAATGTGTTCCAAGAGGCCTGAAGTGACCTAAGAAACGAAGTTTTTTGTGTCCAAATTTTTAGGAAGAATGGAAGAGCGCAGGAAGAGGGGGGGGGGGAGGTTTACAGACTAAAACTTTGTGATTTTTCATTGAACGGTACACGTGATAATGTTATACGAGTTACTTTCTTGAGCACTAAGCTTGAACTGGACTCAAGCTAGAGTTGATACAACAGCCCATTTATCCTCTCTTCATGATTCTACCAAAGTCAAATTTTTGAAGTAAAATATAAACAACGCAGTCACAAAGTCCAACAACTGATAATAAGATGACAATTTCAATTGTATAGCGTTCTTGTTCTCCTTTGATTATCCGATGACAACGACTAAACTCATATAATGCTTCTTCATAAAAATGTGATTTTGTCGAAACTTCCATAATGGCAAGTCAATCTACATCAATTTTGAAGGTAGTTTCAACCGATTTCAGCGCTTAACATCTACGCATGTACGACAGGACGCAGAGATTGTCCTTTGGTTGACAACTGGCCCTTTAGGGTGCATAAGAACTCATCCGAGAAGGTTCTGTCAAAATGAAAATAGTTGAAGAACGGCATTCAATAACAGAAACTCCAAGAAAAACACTATTCCTTAGGGTCTAGGACATCTAACAACTATAAGTGTCTTTACTGAACAGAAGTAAACATAGGAATGAATATGAAAACTTGAAATTCCAAAAATGTAATGAAGATGGGACTATGTAATCAAAATCATATTTTCAACTCCCGTCTCGTTTTTTCCCTAAGGGTAGCGGAAAAAACGCCAAAATGTTGAAGTGAAAAATGTGAATTTCTCTGTATTGAGGGAGGGGGGGGGGGGAAGAAGAGACAAAAAAACAGAAAGGGGTAACAATTGCATTTTAGAAGAGAAGTGTCGAAAAAGGAATTTAGAATAAGATTCATGTAAATATAACAAGGGAGAAAATTTTCGATAAGTCAATTCTATAAGGAATACGGGGATACAAAGTAGACTACAATTTTGAAAAAAAATGAGTTGCATTTTCTGCTTGTTATCTAAAGACGCAGGCATTAACTCAAACCTGGAAAGCTGAAAACCTGGAACAGTCGATTTTATTCTCAACAGAGTTCTAATTTCATTTCTATAGAAAAATTTACAGTTTTTTTTAAATTTACAATTTATCTAAGAATTTACATATATGTTATACATTAGGACAATTTTTATGCTATAAATAGGACATTGTTTGGTGAAATCAAACGTAAATCGAAAATTTTATTGAAAACAAAAGTTCGTAAGCAATCAATAGATTTTAAAACCAAGTGCAAATATAAGATTCGACGTACCAAATGTTTCGGACTACGAATCAAACCAGCAGCTCCACACATTTCCGCTAGTGCCTAAGCAAAGCTGACATTTCTAGCGAAAAATTCTTTGCTGAAACGACTTCCGTTGAAACTTGCGTCAATGGCTGCAAAATGACTTCGTTTCCCAATAAAAGAAGTGTTCATTCTGGTGACTCTTTTGGCTTTAGAGGGACTCCTAGGCGCGCAAAAGATTTATGGGCCTTTAAGCACCATATTTTGGCCGAATGCTCAGTCACAAAAGCT